ACATCCACGACTTACCCGCTTTTTTTTTTGTTTTGAAAGAAGAAGTTTTTGATATATAAGCACGATCATTATTTGAGGGTGCTAATTTTGAATTTGGAGGTRCTGATACCTCCTAATCCCACCMTATTTGCGCCTATGAGATTGTGTAATATATATAAAAAACAAAAATATTCTTCATTTATTATTGTTTCCTACATTATACAATTATATATTGTATAACATGCATGAGATATATARATAAAATATAAACAGTTTGTGTTAATTGATTTCATACTTGATGGTACGTACCTAGTACCTACCTATCAAGTGTTGGTTATATTATTATATATTATATTAGCTAATAGTACCTATTTAATATTAAAAGATTGCCTGTGGAAAATTATAATATCCTATTATCAATCATTTTTTTGATGTTTTGATTTGTGAGTTTTTAATTATACGATGTAAACTTAAACATTTTATGGAATGTATTAGGTATATAGAGAGGCGTGGTGGCTTTGAGTTTGCCTCCCTCCATGGGTCACTAAAAGGTGAATCATTTTAGCACTCCCAAGTTTTAGGCTAAATGTGCACCAATAATTCAGTATTAAAATATTATGTACATAACTTTTGCGTTTTCTGTATAATAGGTATTATATGCTACACAAATGAACTAATCAACCTAATCACCCTATATAGGTACAACTCCAGTTTCAATGTGAAATATAATAATAGACATTTTAAATTTATAGTAAACAATTAATAAGACGTGTGAAAAAAATTTTAGTGGTGAATAGTTCTGCGGTAAAACGACAGCGGTGAAATGACCGAGTTCGGGTGTAAATATCGATAACTATTAACTTCATAACTCACAATAGATAATAAATTATAGGAATGGATAGTTCATTAGCCCTTACCATACATTCTCAAATAAACTTACGTAGTTGAGTGTTTTTTTCTTTGTTGTGTTATCTATAGRTGGGTATGATATCTATCACATAATAGGCACCTTTATGAGACAAAGAAAGTTTTTTTTTTTAAACTAGGCGCATATTGTTATGACTTATAAGCGTAGGCGTTGATATGGTCAGCGTAAAGCCATGATACCGATAAGTTACATGTTTAATAGGTACCTATTACATTTTTTCCACATAATGGCTTATTAGTATTTTTCATTTTCAATAAGTAGGAATGTAGTTTATCGGAGTAAAATATAATATTAATCATCAATAATAATWATTTATTTTTTCAAGACAACCTTATCATTATAATAAATTCATCATACCCTGATCGATAAATTACTGTATAATACTGTAAATAATAATTATTACGATTCACTTCATCAGCTAGTATGTACCTACTTCATTACAAGTAACTTGTTTTGAATTTCTGTTCGTATGGTACTATAATGGCACCAATATTCTTGATCGATTCATATTATTATTAGCTATCTATAAACAGGCACCTATCTATTAAAGTCTGAACTGAACAGTAGGTTACGTTTCAATTTAATAAGCATATTTTAGGTATTTATTTCATWATATAAAATATATTATATTGAGTTTAATCAACAAAATAAATAAGCTCTTAATAATTTTTTTCACGTTTTTAGCGATGGAAGGCTGGAAAATAATTACATATAACGTCGCGGTATATGTGTTTTTATTTGAAATACGACCTCTTGAAACATATTTAACAGCCTATCTTACTGGACCTGACGGAAATGTTTCACTTTCAGAGGTAAATATTAATTATATTTAATTATGATTTATGCATATTATCATAACTTCATACCTTCCTACATTTTAACGTGTGCTATGATTAAAGATGAAACTTATAAGACGAGTTTGATTTTACAGTATAGACCATAGACGTATAGTTGGAATGGTCTTGTATATGCCGTAGGCCATATGGAAAATAAATTGGTCTTCTTGCGAAAAGTCTATACTCTTTGTAATGGGCCGGTAGCCCGTTTGCGAACTACTTATTATTTTTCCAAACGGCCTGCTGTTTTTCAGTCTTATTGCATACGGACTAACAGCACTTAGGCGTTTTAAGAACTACGATCTTTATAGGTAATATGATAATAACCATTTTATTTATTTTACAAGTGAAGTTTAGTTTATTGAACTTAGAATATTGACTCAAACTATAATTTCCAACTTATAAACTGTATCAATGACGTATGTGAGCATTCTCTCGTGTTACTAATTGAACAATTGCCTCATTGTGATTTTTTTATTTTTTTTACTAAATATTTTGAATTACCCACTTCCATAATATCATATTTTTTAATCAGTTTATATTGCTTTTGCTCTACTTATTGTTTTTTTTTTTTTGGTTCCTGCAGGCACAGGTATTTTAGCAACTGCTATTTCAGATAGGTATTGTTGGAAGTTATAGTTTGAGTCATTATTCTAAGTTCAATAAACTAAACTTCACTTGTAAAATAAATAAAATGGTTATTCTCATATTACCTATAAATATTTTACTTCTTAAAACGCTTAAGTGCTGTTGGTCTGTATGCAATAAGCCTGAAAAACAGCAGTCCGCTTGGAAAAATAATAAGTAGTTCGCCAAYGGGCTACCCCATTACAAAGAGTCTAGTCTTTTCGAAAAAAGACTAATTTGTCAAATGGCCTACGACATATATATAAAGACTATATTAGGTATTTGAGACCTTCCTAGTTCTTGAATTTCAAAAATAATTACTAAAATTAGTAAGTACCTACTAGGTATGCGTACTGTTCATCTTCTAGTTACTGAACAGGTCATAACATAACTATAATAATAAAATATAATATTAGTTAGTTCATTATTAATAGAAAAAAAAATATAATTATACTAAAATTATAATCAGACTCGGTTTATATTCTATGATTTTTACTATTATAATTTAATTGATAAATAGTTGGTTTGGAGATTTTTTCCTGGGATTTTATATCCCGAGGATTTTTTTTCAATTACTATCATAAGTTATTTTATACATATTAAATTATGAGCTTCAAGTCACAATGTTTAGTTTTTTTTTTTGAGTTCGATAAAAATAACTAAAATCGTAAGAGGTAAAATCTCTAAAAGGTTAAATTATAAAAAACATTGCTATTAGGTACATTTTCAAGCTTAATACTAGAGAAGATTTTTTTTTTTACCAACATAGATCGAATTTTACCTGATAAAAGTCAAAAATATATTAAAATCAATAAAAAATTTAAGGTCTAATCTATCAAAAATTCAAAGTATTTTGTGAATTTATAATTCCATGGTTAGGAAAAAAGAAAATTAATAATATTTAAAATATTAGATCCCTACGGAAATTATTTTTATACTAGTGTCGCCGTATAAAATAAAAACAATTTTCATTGTAAAAAGTTTATAAGATTTGTTCTGCTTAAATTGTAAAACTTATACAAATTGGTTGACCGAATTTACTAAGGAAAAAACTATGAAAATAAAAACCAAATCTGATAAATAATAATGTTATACTAATTATAGTATACCATTATATTACCTCTTTTTCAACTTTTTGTGGTATTTATATGATTTATTTATTAATAGTTACTGCATTTTTAAATATTGTAGGATGTTTAATATTTTGAAAAGCTCCTACCTAAAATTTAATAAATTGATAAATATATAAAAATTATGATTGAGAGTAATTCTAAATTAAAATCTATTTTAATTACTGAATTTAATTTATTTCATAGGTTACGTATAGATATTAGATATACATTATACAGTTAGATAAAATAGTTAATACCAACTAACGTTTTCCCTATTAAATAACCATGACTAATATAGTTCAAAAAATACTTATTCAAGATAAAATTATCCAAGTAAATTACATAAAAAATAATCATAAACACACATATTCAGGAATATTCAGAGATYATTAAAATTGTTTACCAGCCAGTTTTTTGAAAAAAAAATTTATTGATAATACCAAAGATATYACTATATCAGTAGTCCACTTTGTACTTTTCTAAATAAAAGTCGTTCTCTCTCTGCATCGCGTAGAGAATAAACCTAACCTGTGCATTTCATTTATGCATGTATATTCTATAAAATACAAAAAAAAAAAAAATAGTCAAATAGTGTACTTATTTATTTATTTTTTTAAATTTATCATATGAACAAATTATTTACCATGTATAATATTACTTATTGCATTATTTCCCACGTTTTAAATATTAAGATACACTAAAATAGTTATAAATTTATAATATTAAGGTTTAGAATACAAAATTAAAATGTATGTTATAATTAAAATAGAAAAAACTAGATGTAAAAAAAGTATACACGTTTTTAGTGAATTTATATTTTGCAAAAAATATATCTTAAATATCTAATACTTTTTGCCTTTTGAGATAGTAGGTCAAGTATATAGGAACCTGTGTATGCTGATATCAATATTTTCCTACCTATGTTATGTACACGCGTACATCATGCGTGTGAATTTTTATTAGTTTAGTAAATTATAGGCAATGAAAATAGATTTTTCTTTTAATAGATTATTCAGATTATAATATACATTTTTAAGCATTGATTTTGTTTAAATGTTATGTTGCAAATAGAATTATTTTATTTTATTGGTTTTTTTGTATTTATTACAATTACAATGTTTCAGCATATAGTGCATACTATTACAAGTTTTTGATTACAATTTAATTACGGTTAGTTAATGATTTTTGGCTTTTATACAAATATAGTATAGTATAAGGATTGTAGATAATTTTAATAAGTTTTGTGGATAAGAGATTTAATGTTAGAAATAATGACTGTTATGGGAATATGGTTGTGAGYTTACTTAAAATTACGGTTATTAGAGAGATAAATGGATTTAAAAATGTTTGGCGTTGAAACTGTAGTAGGTACTGTGATAAGAAAATAGAACATCACACATTTTCAACACGATTGTAAATATTTTAATGCAAAAACATTTAATCGTAAAAATAATAAACGCTATAGTTTATAGATCTTTGAAAAATTGTATAGGTATATAATTAGTTTTGTTGGTCAATCAGTTTTCAAATAGTTTAGAAACAAGGAAATAAATATTGTTCTTGTTTAGGTATTAACATTATTGTAAGAACTAATTGAATTTAATTGTTTGACATAATTATTTGTCTTTGTGTACCAATAATTATTGTAAGTTATCCGTATCATAATACAGATAACATGGGTAGGTATTCGGGTTAATACTTAATACATAATATTAAATTGAAATACTAATTGGTTAATACTTAATATACAATAATAATATTTTATCGTTTCTAATCTCAATAATCTACCAATATAAATAATATATAAAATMAATAAATAGTAAGATATCACTTTTCATTATTTGAGACGGATACAAATAATATTTAAGCAAGTAGGTATCTGATTATTTATACCTGATCACATTTAAAGCATTAAATTATATTTTTATAAAGAGTCTATGTAGTAGAATATCTTAATACCTAATGTATAATGTATATACCCTTACACTTAAATTGTTGCCAAGTTCATCATTTTAAAATTAAAGGAAMACCATATTTTAACGAACTCGTTGAATATTGTTTTGCTTGCAAAAGGTAAATAATATTTCACCTGTTGACTTTTGACTATTTTATACAATTAACGCTTAGGTACGTATTATAACGATATAACGATAATATTATCATGTAATCTTTTATACTAGGTGGCTAACTCGATGGAGTCAATCAGATCGTATTCAGCACTCTCTGCAACTGTAATAATGTTAGCCGTTTCGGAATACTTTTACAAACCGGCCATCATAGCCTTCACAGTTTGTTCATTTATTGCCTATATCCTTATGTCAGGTTCAYCGAGTTTGACACATTTGCGGGTTAGTACCTACTTTTATCAACATTAGGCAATATGTATTGTATACAATATATACAATATAATATATATTAAGTACCTACATAATAGTATCTGGAAACTAATATAGATAAAATAGATAAAACGCAAACGTAGATTTGTGTATATATATTAAATACGTTGTCATTAGTTTTCAATAACAAGAAAACGGCTGCATCCGAGTTGTGTCCCGAATCAAAAATGAGTAAAACACGATTGCGTATACGTTCGTTGTCGGCGATACCTGTTTAAGCGACACGATTCCGTATGATTTTATCTGATTTTTAACTACACGATTGCGTACGAAGTTYGAGGCGTTGTTGCAAATTTTTATATCGGTATATATACTATATAATATATTATGACCGGTAGACAGAAAAAAAAGTCCCGACGTAAAACGTCCCACCTTTAATTATATAGACTTGAATCTAATTGATAGGTACCTTTTATTTGTGTACCTAATGATTGGCAGTCGAACACATACTGATAATCGTATCGATATAATTAATATAACAATAATTAATATAATGATAAAATGTTATAATAATTATAATGTTATAATGATTATAATGTTATAATGAAATAACATACACAATAGTAAATAAATATAAAATTATTATAATAATACAATAGCTATACAATAATATACTAATCACACCTCTTTCTTATATTGTGACTTAATCAAGTCTATATTATTAAAAAGGTGGTACGTTTTACGTCGGGACTTTTTTCTAGTGTGGGACTTTTTTTACCGCGATTCATATGACCAGCGTTGAGATTTTATAGCATTTACATATTTCTTATGAGATGCTTAAAAAATAGAAGAGTAAGCTAAAAATATGCTTCATGATACAGAGAATTCAAATTAAAAATTGTATATTTATTTTTTTAGACTTTTTTGTATTTTAACTGTTTTTGAATCAAAATCAGTCTTATTATATGAAATTATATTTTTTTTGTCGATCGAATTATCAAGTATTTTTAGTATCACAAATAGATTTCAAAGATTTTATAACACTTATAATTGACAATTTCATAGTGCTTATCCTCCAACACGTCATGTTGTTATTCAAATATTGAAAGACCATCTTAAGATCAATTATACAATCGGTTAATAATAGGAGAATAAAGAAAATGKCAAAAAAGACTTAAACAGAATTCAAAATACAACAAAGGATTATGATGAGTATAAAATCCATAAAAATGTAATTCGATATTTAAAATTAGTAGGCTATAGATGTCAAGAAATTTAAATTCAAGCATTTAAAAAAAAATGTATTTACGATATTTATTTAAATAATAATTGACGATTTTATTTATTTACCGATTACTTTTTTATTATTTAGTTAACCTCATTTTATTTATTATTATAATATACTATATATTATATTATTATCTATTTTATATATGATGAAATTAGTAAATTTTATAACGTTGCATACAATTTCATATGCAATCGTGTTTATTTTTTTCTTAAAGGTACTTTTAATCCATCTACAAACATACGCAATCCGTGTTCTACCCTTAAAAATTGCTATACTAGTTGGGTCCGGATTTTTTACAGGTAATATTCTAGTTGGGTCCAGGATTTTCACAGGTACTACACTAGTTGGGTCCTGAATTTTTTTTTTTGGTGATTACTACATAATATAAATTCTCTTCCCATTTTAACAGACTCAGGACTGTCTATAATTTATTTAGACCAAAGATATGGTTAAAGTTGTTTTTACAGTTTATTTTTATAGTTTTTTTGCCATTAAAAGTATACATTATTCGAATTTTGCTTTAATAATAAATGACAAAACATGCAGGTATTCGACAAAGAAAAAATATTAAACATCTTATAAATCAAATATAAAAAATACATAGGTATTGTATAATAGAAATAAAAATAAATGTTTGCTGAAGGTATATGTACAATTAAAAATTGACCCAACTAGTGTAGTACTTGCAAAAATCTTTGACCCAATTAGTGTAGTATCTAAAAATGAGCCTGACCCAACTAATGCAGTACCTGTGATTTAACCCTAGTACTAGGGCTATGGTCGAATTGCACTTATTTTAGTCGAATTGCACTTGGGTTTAAAAAAGCTAATGGTCGAACTGCACTCGGATAAAAAAACAGCTAGTGGTCGAACCGCACTTGGGCCAAAAGTATTTCAATAAAATTATCATGAATTTGAAGAGGTCAAACATTTAGTTAACACTGATTTTCCTATAATTCTTATATTATATACTTTATATTACATTATATTTTAAGCTCAAATATGAGGATTTCCACGCGAAGTTAAATAATTCATTTTCATCATCACATCCAAATATATTTGTTTTCATTGATATTTTAACACAATTACAAATCGACACCTACATTTTAATGCAGAATACTGACACAAGACCATCAAAAACACGGTACCAGATAAAAATAAATAATATTAAACAATATATTGACTTATATACTCAAAAGCGTTTTACCAGTCTAGAATCTTTGAATACAGTTAGTCATTATTACAAAAAATGATCGAAATGACAAAAAAAAATATTTATAATAAGTAATGATAATAATTAAATTTGACGATTAAAAAAAAATGTTTGATAATAATAATAWTAATATGTATAGTACAATATAATATAATATGATGTATAATATAATAATTATAATTTAAATATATATAATTAACATATTAATGTGATGTTTAAAACAATCATACTTAACCACCAATGATTAAAATCATAGTCAGTCCTAAGCCTGTAAGTGGGAAGAAAAATGAGCGTCAGCCCTAACCGCTTCAAAYGCATAATCATTTTATTAAAATATTTTTTGAGCCCAAGTGCAGTTCGACCACTACCTGGTTTTTAACTGAGTGCAGTTCGACCACTACCTTTTTTAAACCCAAATGCAATTCGACCATTTGTTTTTAGGTAATAAGTGCAATTTGACTTTCCCGGTACTCGGGACCCAACTCGTCATAATCAGACTTAAATAATGCTATTTCTATACCTACTATACAGTTAGGTGTGGCTGGCATAGGAGCATCATCGAACGCCTACATATTGGGTTTCAGTTATTTGTACAGTCAAATCAGTGACAGGCAACTGTATCAAAAGGCGACCAGCATTGTCTCAGTCAGCTTACAGCTAGGCATTTTCTGCGGTTCTGCACTTTCGCAAATAATTGCTAGCACGACTGGAGGAATTTATACAATTCTACCGTATTGCAATGCATTTGGTAAATATACGTCCATAATTACATATTTTCCATTTTATTTAGTTTTGTTTATGCTGTGATTGATTTTTATATTACCTATTCTATATAATGATATTATAACAAGTAACAACTTGTTCTAGTTGGGTCTCTCGGGTTACATAAGCAACCAATAATAACATTTAAACATTCAATTAATGCATAATATAGATGATCCSTAATAACGGGTTCAAAAATAGGTAGGTACATTCCATCTGGTCTACTGTTATGAAGTCTGATGTATCTATCATATTTTTATGCGAATTATTCTCCTTAGTCAATTCCTGTAACATGAACTTTCAGCTGCTTTTTTAAATTATTGAATATGCATTTGTCTATAGGGGAAACCTTTTTACTTATTTACAGCTATGTTCATAGCTGTGATTACCGCTTGTCTATTTCCGGTGAAAAAAAAACATTCTTTTCGAATGGAGAATGTGCTTAATGAAAATACCAGACTTCTCAAAAATGGCTTAAAAATTAAAACGGAGTTTTGTGAAAAAAATATCGTAGGTAATCGAGGTGTATAGACCATAAGTATTTAGTGATCATATAATAAACACTAATCAGCATTATGAAAATACACCATATACATGGTGCATGACTAGATTCTGTAACATAATTTCAATGTATTTTTTTTTGTCTAGCTCATAATGCAATCTATCAAGTACAACACTGCAGCGGATAATACCTTCAAAGGACTATTGTTCGATTTTAAAACTTCATACTCGAATACGGTAGTGCTGAAACGGTCTATTTGGTATATTATCAGTATGGGATCACATTTTCAGGTATTAAAATTACTTCATTGTATAATATWATGTATTAATATATTTTCACTAAATATGCATATTTACTAAGAATAATAATTCACCAATAAATATATATCGAAAACTGTAGTATTTATTAAAAAATACTAATAATTATTTATTTTATATTATTATTAAAATTGGCTGTAAAAAATAACTCAATACCGATAAAAAATAAAAACCAATACAAACAATACAACCATAAATAAATTACAAGAAAAAAAATATGAAAGGTAGTACCTATAAGGTAGGTTAATAACATATGTTCGGCCTTCTCCCCATTAGTAAAGCATTAACGTTTTGGATTCTGAGCGGAGAATGAATGTATTGATTTTACCATGGTGTGTGTTTTTTATTTTTGTGTCTGTCATCACGTTTTTGGGCAGTAAAAGTGCTTCGATTTTCGACTTCAGTACCTTGTTAGATCAGAAAGTGAATCAGTTTCGTTACCAGTACCACCAAAGAGTATATAAAGGTCAAAACTATCATCGATTGTTATTTCATTTGAACACATTTGTAATCCTAAWTTAAATATTTGTACACCTTCCAGAACTTAGGAAAATCAATTTTCCCGTGGCGGTACTGGTGTAACCGTTACACCAGTATAATCATTGGCTTGTATTGATCCTACCATGGAATTTTCACCGAATGTTTACAAAGGTATATTCTATCCACCATGCAATTTTCGACTTAAGTTGAACTATTCATAGGCATATGCAGTTTTTAATCATTATTAGTTTTTTTAAATTAATATCGATAAAAATTAATTTATTGGGTAGAAAAACTTGAAAATTTAATTCAATAGGCTCCTAACATATTTTTATAATAGCAGTTGAAATATAAAAGAAATACATAGTCATCATTTTTTTTTAACAAGCATTGAAAGTTTAAATTTTGATAAAATACGTAAAAATCACAAAAATTCGCAAATTATTTTATGCTAGATTTTCATAAAAAATTTTCTTTTTAGATCTAAGATTTGAAAATTTAATACAAGATTCCTTACAAGTTTGTCAATCTTTATTACCAAAAATTCAAATTATATTTTTATAAGCGTTTGAAATTTACATTTTTACAACATAGGATTTTCACTAGAGTTCTCATTTAGCAATTTTCTTATTTTGGCGTAACTCTAAAACAGATTACCTACCGTAGGTACTTGAAATTTTCACTTAATACTTATATACGCATTTTCTATATTCGATAAAATKTTCAAAGTATTTTGATTAGTTTTTAGCTGTTTAGTGACATTTTAATTTTTCAACTTTTTTAGTTTTTT